GGACTCAAAAGAAGAGAACTTTACCCTGTGTGAAAATTACATGAAATTCAGATTTCAGTGTCCATAAATAAAACTACATTGGCACTCTGTTGGGCTCATTCCTTTGTATTGTCTATGCCAATTTCCTGACACAGGGCAGCACTGTGTAGCTGTGATGCAGGCTGTAAGGTCCACAAAGACTAAAAACATTTATCTTTCCTGGGGGCAAGTTTGCCCGCTCTACTCTAACTAATTGCCCTGGAATGGAGTTCGTGGATGCCCAAGGGATCTGTAAATGAAGTAATGGGGGTTCTGAGAATAGTTCCCAATAGTTTGTAAAAACCTAATGAGTGTAATATATTTACTTGCTATAGGGGACCAACAGCTACTTAAAACATTACCTCTCTCTGATTCTTGGCATAAGTTCCATACACTGATGAGGTAATCCTGGCTATCTCAAGAGAAAACAAAACAAACTATCATATACTTGGCCCACCAGATCTTTTACAACCCAGGGTGGACTTTGTGTATCCCCAATGCCTAGAATAAGGGCCTGGTATACAGCAGGCACTCAAATATTTGTTCAATAAATGAAATGGGCTCACAAGGGGACAAAGAGCAAAAGGAAACAAGATCATGAACTACCAATGTGCCTGTATGAGCTTATTAGGGCTGCTGTAACCATGTTCCACAAACTGAGGGCTTACACAATGGAAACTGATTGTCACCTGGTTCTGGAGGGTGGAGATCCAAGATCAAGGTGTCAGCGGGTCAGTTCCTACTGAGGGCTGTAGGGAGAATCTGTTTCAGGTCTCTCACCTAACTTCTGGTGGCTGGTTCGCCATCTGTTTGAAGAGGCGGCTTCCTGCCCTCTGCATCTCTCCACATGGGGTTCTCCCTCTGCATCTGGTGCTGTGTCCAAATTTGTCCTTTTCATAAAGAGCCATTTTGAACTAGGGGTCCACTCTCTTCAACATGACCTCATTTTAATTAGTTACAATGACCCTATTTCCAAATGAGGCCACCGTCTAAGGCGTTTGGAGTTAGCCTTCCACGTGAGAGTGGGAGGGTGCACAATTCCGGCCATAACAGTCATGTAAACTTGCCAGAAGTCCCACACTGGTCTAGCGGGACATCCCTTGTGCCTGATTCCCAGGTCTGTGGGTATACAGGAGGCAATCACTAATTATGTGCTAATGAAATGAACTGGGTCCACACCCTGTTGGATCACACCTTGATCTTGGATTTCTACCCTCCAGAACCATGGGACTCTGGCAGTCTGTGTGGGTCTTGCACCATAACTCAAGCAAGAAGCGTTCATAAATGAGACCTGATGTGGGACAAACACCCAGCTGACCTCAGTTGCATGTTAGTAATTGTTCTTGTTTTTTAATAAATGAAAGGTCTCATGCCTCTTTTTCTTGATGACTTCTACACTCTGCCAGCATTTACTGAGAGCTCATCATAATGAAGACAGAACTTTTAGAATAAACTCAAAAGCTGTGAGAGAAAGAAAGAAGTTAGCCAGCATGCTGGCCCCTCAACAAAACGTACCTGCCAGTGATAAAACCAGAAGCCAGTGGAATCCAAACAAACCGTTGCCATGGGAATGTAATGACACATCAGAAGTTATGGTCACTATGTGGACAATCCTCCTTAGCTACTCCCTAAACAATCCTCTGGTTACTCCCCTGAGGATGAGAAAATGATTCTCAAGCTGAAAAAACCCCTCCTGTTCTTTGACAAAACTCAGAGGAAAAGATGGAAAGTGACTTGCCCCCAACTCACCAGCTCACTGCTGAGTTAGGAAAGTAATAGTCCTCAGTCTGGTGTTTCCTTTTTCAATATCTGTACAATGAAGTCAGTAATGTGGAAAATATCCACCCGAAGTAGAGTGTGGCAACACCCCTCAATTCACCTGATTGATTCACAACCTCCCTATCTCCTGTAGTTCCCCTTTGGGTGGCTGGTGGTTGAAATTCCAGCACTGATTCTTCCTTTAAATCATGAGGGACATTCAAAATAAGCTCTGCCACACCACCAACAAAACTCGTTTTAAAAAAAGGAGAGTGCTGCTCAATAATGTGGGGTGTAATGTCTTGTTTTCCTAACTAAAAATACAAAGTAAGAACTTATGCACCCCTGGTGAAAGAACGTAGTGGTACTTGTAGGAAAAAAAAAAGACAAAGGGGGCTCCGTGGGGTGTTACTGCAGTAAAAACCTCTGTCAGGACCCGTTGGGCAGTGAAATGCTTGTTTTCCTCAAGGAGAATTTTCCCCCTGAATCCTGCCTCTGTCCATAACCTCACCTCTGGCCACACCATCTCCCTAGAGATGTGCTGCACCTCGCGGTGCCTACTCAAAATCCCCACAGGTGGGAAAGTGGATGCTAAGGAAATTCTTGGAGTCGGAGTAAAGCTGTCATGGGGCCCTTGTCTCCGGTCAACCCATTTCCCTGAAATTTACATCAAACTCCCCGCTAGCTCATCTAGCTAGCAAAGCTGGGATCTTGGCCAGCGAAAGGGTTCGCTAACGTGTCAAGAGGGCCAGGGTCCTGGCTGAGGAGTCTTCTCACCCGTCTGAGCCGCAGGGGCCTGAATGGTAGCTGAGATCTTTAGCACACGACCTAGAACCCGCGGCGTTTGTGGCAAAGCCAGTGTGGGCGCCGGGAAGCTCCCGAACCGGCAGGGCCAGGGCGTGGTCTCGCATCCCTGGTACAGGGCACTGTCGGCTACTAACGAGAGGAAGCCCAGCCCACAAGCCGCGACGGGCCCGGATGCCCATGCCACAGTGAGGCAGCCCGGCTGGCCCGTTTTCCATTGGGCCTACCGCCGCGCTCTGTGCCACGAGATGGAGAGCCGGACAAGGCCACGCTGAGCATGGATGCGAAAGGGCTGCACGCCAAGACACGCACACGTGCCCAGCATGGCGGAGGCGCTCACCGCGTTGGCTGAATGACGGCGGGCCGGCGTCGCGCCGCCGAGGCCGGGATCACCGAACCCAGGAGCCAAA